CCACATGAATTTTAGGATGGCTTTTTCTATTTCTGCAAAACATGTCAGAACTTCGACAGGGATTGCATTGAATCTGTAGTGCTCTTAGAGTAGTATTGCCATCTTAACGACATTAAGTCTTTCAATCCATGGATGCAAGATGTCTTTCTATTTATTTGTGTCTTCTCTAATTCCTTTCATTAATGTTTTGTAATTTTCAGTGTACAAATCATTCACCTCCTTAATTAAGTTTATTCCTAAGTATTTTATTTTTGTTGCTATTGTAAAAAGAATTGTTCCAATTTCCTTTTTGGATTGTTTATTGTTATAAAACACAACTGATTTTTGTGTTGATTTTGTATTCTCTAGCTCTGCTGAAATTTGTATAGTAGTTCTAACCGTCGTTTTTCTGTGTGGAATCGTTAGGGTTTTCTACATATAAGATCATGTCATCGGCAAACAAAGATTAATTTTAATTGTTCCTTTCCAATTTCCAATGGCCCACCTTTTTGCCAACTCAACAGAATGGACCTGAATTACAGTTCCCCTAGTCACTAATGAGACTGAATGTCTTTTGATATGGAAGCATTAATACCAGGTGCTTAATGCAAAATTCACAAATAATATTAGGATAAATATAAAATCCCAATCTTCAGGCTCTACCTCCAGATCTTAGGCTCTCATTCCTACCCTTCTGCTCCTAAGGAGTACTGTAGTCAAAAATTTTTGGACTGGCTACAGCATCGAGCTTAACACTTTTTATCAGTCTCTCAAATGTACAACATAAATAATTCCTAACATTTATTGGTTTATAAACTTTGATAATTTGATGAAAACTACGAATCCTCAATTCAGAAAAAAGTGCACATCCAAAGTTCTGCATACAGTATCAGGAGATTTGTGGATCTCCTGAAGTTCAACCATGGACCTCTTACAGATATAATCCTTATTCACCTTACATAGTCAATCCTATTTCTACTGAACACAGCCTCTTCAGACATTTGTTTATTTCAACTACACACCAGCTCTGATGTTCTGCCTCTTTCTCGTTCCTAACTCAATGCTTTTGATCACTGCTTCTCCCACATCCTAATTAAATTTTACTTTATCTTCAAGGTCCAACTAAAATTCCCAATTCTTCCAAGATATCTGTCCAACCTGTCATCCTCTCTTCCAACAGTATCATTCATTCATTCAATAAATACATATTGAGTAGCTTCTCTGTGCCAGGCCATATTCCAAAAGCTAGGGATACAACAATGAATAACACACAGTCTCTGTCCTCAAAAACAGTGTTCTGTTACCCAAAAGGCAGATTAAACATGTACTTAGGACACACACATAGACTCACAGAGAGAAAAATTATTTTAAAAAATTTTTCAAAAAGTAATAAACTCATTTTCATTTTAGTATTAGTTTTATTTTTAATTCTATTTTGGGAAGGGACTTCATAATCTTTTCAGGGCTTAGGGTGTCCAAAGGTTTTAATCTAGTCCTGCGAGCCTAGTAGGAAAAAAAAAATCATCTTCCCCTAAAACCCTGATACCTCTCCTGTTTTCTCTGATTTGAATATATGCATGTGTCCAAGAAGAAAATCTGAGAGCTGCCTTCAACTCCTTCCTCTTCTAAATTCTCCATATCCAATGATCTTTGTATTTGAGAAAGATCACTATTGGCTACATGAAAAGAATGTCCTGGAGGGGACAGTAGGTTGGTGTATAACTAGAAATCAACCAGTTAGAGCTGGAATACAAAGGAAGACAATGGTTCAGGAAGGCCTGAACTAAAGTGTAGTAAAGGGGATTGAAAGATGCGGAAAAGAAGAGATATGAAGGAGGGAGAATTTATCAAACTTGATGATTAGATGTGTAGGATAAAGGAGTTATTGAGGATAGTTCCTATATTTCTGGCTTGAAAAACTAGGCAGATGATAGTACTACTCATTAAGAGAATAAGGGAAGAAGAAGATTGGAGTTTGGGTAAAAGAATTGAATAGGTTCAGTCTGGGATATCCAAATGGAAATGTCCAGTTGGCAGTTAGATACTAGGTCTGAAAATCAGGAAAGAGACTTGGGCTATAGATACTATTTTATGAATCATCAGTGGATAGACGGCAACTGAAGCTATTGAAGAGAATAAGATCACAGGGGAAATGAATAGAATGAGAAAAAAATTAGTTCAGAGATTATGTGCTAGGTGGTTTAATAGAACAAATAATAATAAACACTTATTGTGCCCTTTCTGTGAGTCAGGTATAGTTCTAAAGACTTTACTCACATAATCTTTAAAAAAATAACTAAAACCCTTTGGACCTAGGTACTATTATTATTATGCCATTTTACACTTAAGGAAACCAAAGCAAAGCACAGTGAAATAATTTGCCTAAAATTGTCTATGTGGTTGAGTGGTGAAGCCAAGATTTGAATGCAGGTAGTCTGACTCCAGAACTTTGCTGTCAATCTATATAAACCACACGGTACTTCTGGAACGTAGTATTTTTCCCTCTACAGATTAAAAAAAAAAAAAAAAGAGGCTCAGAGAAATTAAATAACTTGCTAAAGTAATACAGCTTACATGTGGTGGGGTTAAGATTCAAACCTAAAGCCCATACACATCCTTTCATACCTCGGTTATAAGTAGGGATTTCTCTCATAATCTTTCACAGTGCATAGCCTAGTGCTAAACATTTGTTTAAAGAACAGTATTATTACTACTACTACTACTACTAATAATGTAAGAACATTGAAAGTTTAGCTCCCATTTACCCTTGACAGGAAGTTACTTAAGGTTGTACCACAACATAAAGAAAGTATAAACTAAGGCAGATTTGTAAACAGTAAAAGGAAGTCCCAGGACAAAAGCCATGTAGTGGTCAGAGAAATTGGAGCAGGACAATTGGGAGGGTGGTCTTCATGGGAAAAACTCTGAAATATAAAAATGACTACAAGAGAGAGCTTAGAAAACTTGGAAGTATGATAAAGGAATCCAGTAGAATGTAGTAAAGGTGTTATATTGGACTTGCCTCTAGCACTGCTCTTCAACAAGGGGCATCGGGTCATGATATCATTGCTCTAGAGAAGGAAATGTTATGCTAGCAGTCCATGGTTCTAAAGTAAACATTTACATAGGCATAACTGAAATGCTTTTTATTACTGTTTCATGGATTGTAAGACTTCTTTTTTTCCCACATTTTAACACCTCTGAATGGGATGCATCTTACAAGCGATGGTGTGTCATGGTTTAATAAATTGTTTATTCTCTTTCTTAGTAGTATATAAAATAACGGTGCATTTTACAATCAGCAGCCTGTTGGATTTGATGAATTATGTGTGCCAGGCACAGCTTTAAATGCTTTATAATACACTCTTTCTCATTTAATCTTCGTAACAGTCTTATGCAGCTGGTGTTTTTATCACCATTTTACAGATAAGGAAATTGAGGCTCAAAGATGTTAAACCATATGCTCAAGGACGGCTGTCAATTAAGTGGCAAAGCCAGAATTGAAAACCAGGTCAGACTTCAAAGGTTATGCTCTTACTGCACCTCAACATTTACCAGAGGTGATAAAGAGTTGAATAAAAACCTAGGCTATCTGAACTTCTACTCAAATCAAGGTCTAGGTCAACAGTGTAGCCTTCCCAACTCCTCCAGGAAGAACCAATCTCGCCCTCATCTCTGCTCCCATAACATTTTATGAACACCTCTATTGTACCTTATTATAATGTATAAATTCCAAAGAGCAGCTTGGAAGTCAGGAATAGTATCTTAATCACCCTCTCTGACCCTACAGTGCCTACCATTGTTCCTGACACATAGTAGCAGCTCAATGTCTGTTAAAAGGAGCCAGGGTCTCTGCTGCCAAATCTAAAGAGGGGACAAGAAATGCACATACAACTAACAAAGGCCAAAAGTAGTTATAGGAGAGCTATAAATAAAGTGCATTGGCATCTAAGAGAAAAGAACCAAGGATAGAAAGCACAAGTCAAGGGGAGACAGTTCAGCCAGCTTGCAGAGTTTCATACACACTCACACACGCATACTCTGGCTGACACCAAGCTGCTGAGACATTTTCTTGAACTTACACAGCATTTTTTAATTTTCATGAGTTGCCAACATTTATAAATTGAACTTTCAAATAAAATCGGGATTTCTGGATTTTCTTGAAAAATGGGAAGATATTGGAAATGGGGTCCCCCCTTCTCCCAGGGAAACTGGTTGGACGCATCAATTGTCCCTTTCAGATAAAGTTAGTGCCCCCTTATTCATCGTACCACCTCCCACCGTGTTCTTATGCCCAGCCTGCATGAGATCATTTATATCTGACCACCGTAGGCGTCTGGGTTTATGACCCCTTCTCTCGACACACCACTCACTGCTCTATTACACACCACGTATTTTCAAGCATGCGTGTCTCTTCCTTTCGCTTTGCCTAGAAAGGTCTTTGCTATCTCCAGAAGCACTCCTACTCCACGCCACGGCTTCAGTTCCTTTCACTAGCTTTCTCTGACCTCCCCCTCAACTGGGTCACCGCAGCATTCTGGTCATACCTCTATTAAAACCCTAATCACAGCGTGTGTACAAGTCTGCCTCCTCCGCTAGGACGTGAGTTCATTGAAGCCAGCGGCCCACGACTGGTTGATTTTCGCGTCCCCAGCTCCAAATCGTGGCCTTGCACCTAAACACATCCGTTCAGTACGTGTTGTACGTGTTTGCGGAAGTCAGTCTTCCCACTTTCCGACAAACCTACGCTAAACGATCTAATCGGCCTTAGATGTGGGGCGGAGGCAGCAAGCGCAGACGCGTGCAAACACCTGGATTCTAGCCGAGAAGAGCGCGCGCCCCAGCACCCCAGCGAGTAAACGCTGCCGGGTGACGTCGGGCGCCGCAATTCTGTCTCAGCAGCGGAAGTTCCAGCTCTCGCGAGATTCGGCCTGAGCGTCAGCCCATCTGCGCAGACTTCAGGCTTGGTTTCGGCTAGATTCACGCGGCCACGCGACTCTAGGGAACGAGCACTTCCGGCGCCGTGCCCCGGAAACGGAAGTGACTTCCTTGCTGTCAGAGTCGGGGTGTTACTCGGTGGTCCTGAAAGCTAGGGAACTCGTTTTCGCTTCATTTTTCCTGACTCTGGAGCGCTTCCCTGCCTGGCAGGTGGGAGTGCAGAGACGGAAGTGCGAGATGAGCACCATGTTCGCGGACACGCTGCTCATCGTTTTTATCTCCGTGTGCACGGCTCTTCTCGCTGAGGGTAAGAGCGGCTGCTTCTCTGGCGTTTGACCAGTCCCCGAGCTGAAGGATCCTAGGCCTGGGGTCCCTCGCGCTACCAAGGGAGAGGTCGCGAGCCTTGCTTGCTTAGGGGCTCATCTGCTCCAGGGAATCTCGGGGCTACTCTTGAACAGGAGCGGGTATTTGTGTAGACGCCTTCACATCATGTCGCAGTTGTTTTGGTTGAAGAGTCAGTTGTATTAAAATTTGAAAAATGTTAACTACTGGTAAATATAAAGCAAAAAGTTGAAATCTCTCCTTACCCAACAGTTACCACTAATAACAGTTTGTTGTGACCATTTCAAACGTTTCTCTACTAGCGTGTTGCTTTTAATGTTTCAGGTATAACCTGGGTCCTGGTTTACAGGACAGACAAGTACAAGCGACTGAAGGCGGAAGTGGAAAAGCAGAGTAAAAAATGTGAGTATGGCGACATCCTTTAGAAATACTTTCAACATATCGAGCTCACTGAGTGCATGTTCACAGTAAATATTTTAGGAGCATCAACTGATGCAAAAACTTTATAGGAAGGATGAATCCGACTTGAAGTCTGTTTAGAAATGTAAGACATTTATGCAAAATGTATAGTACAAACTACAGCGAGAGGTACATGTTATGTGCTGTGGTGGTTCTAAAGAAGAGAGCTCATTCAGTTGTGAGGAGCCTCGGGAGCCTTTGTGTTGCAGATGGCCTTGCAGTCCCTCATGGATGGTTAGAATTTGGATAGAGAATGAGATGGGGGAAGGAATTCCAGGCAAAGGAAATAGCATATGAGCACAACTATGGAAATTGTAACGAATAAGGTGTGTTGGGAGAACAAGAAGTCATTATCATTAGTATCAAGGCAAGTGGTATCTTCAGGGATAAGCCAAGTTTTGGTTGGGTGAGGAGGTTGAAGGAGTATTTGAGGAAAAGGTTAAGAAGAAGTAGAGTTTGTTTTCTTTAAAAGAGGATTCCACAGGACGCAGCTGAGAGGGAAACCAGAGGTATAATGTGAACGGTTCCTTATAGACTTCATTTGTCTTCCAGTGTTCTTTTCTACCTTATAAAGATTAAATCTAACTATTGCATTTTAAAATTCCCACGATTTGGGGGCCAGCCTAGTGGCATAGTGGTTAAGTTCGCTCACTCTGCTTCCGAGGCCCCAGGGTTTGCAGGTTCGGATCCTAGGCACGAACCTATACGCTGCTTGTCAAACCATGCTGTGGCACTGTCCCACATACAAAATAGAGGAAGATTGGCGTGGATGTTAGCTCAGTGACAATCTTCCTCACCAAAAAGAAAGGAAAATCCTATGATTTTCTGTGTTCTGACTTTTCTTTATGTCTTTGTAAGATTTTGAAGTTTTCTTTCTTACAGTATCTCATTTGGTCTACAAAACAACCATTGTGGTCAGTTGTATAAATATTATCCTCCCTTTATGGAAGAGGAGGTGGAGACTTAGAAAGGTCAAGCGACATACTAACATCACAGAGCAGACAAAGAATTGGAAACCAAACTCAGGCTTTTTAAACTACAGTAACTGTTCCTTCACTTATTCAATGTTGATAATGTACTCAGCATATTTAAAACTAAGCTTATTAGCTTTACCCTCACAAATGTGGTCCTCCAGGGTTTCCCTGTTTGGTGAATGGTACCTCCATGCTTCCAATAGTGTGAGCCAGAACCCTTAATACACTTTCTTCATTTGGCTTCCAGGACACCACACTCTCTCAGTTTTGCTTTTATCTTGCTTGTCATTCTTTTGTACTTTTCTTGTTGGTTCCTCTTTTAGACTTCCTGTTTTTGAGGGTGACCCAAAATTTGTTTTTTTCTTTACACTCACTCCCTTGTTGAACTCATTTATTGCGCTTCTCTATATGCCCATAACCCCCAAATTTATATCCCTAGCCCTCTCTCCTTAATGCAAGATTCATATCCAGCTATCAATTTGTCAATTCCACTGGAATGTGTAATATACATCTCAAACCCAATATGTCCAAATCGAACACTTGTTTTTCACTTCCAAGGCTGCTTCATTTGTAGCCTTCATGATGTTGGTCACTGGCAGTTCTGTCCTTGCGGTTGCTCAGGCCGTAATCCTTGTATGGTTCTTTGACTCCTCTCTCACAAGCCACATCCAGTGCTGTTGGGCTGCCTTCAGGTATATCCAGAAGCTGACCACTCTTCATCACCTCCACTGATAACTACCATAGTCCAAGCCACTGTCATCTTTTGCATGATTATTGCAATAGCCTCCAGCGAGTGTTCCTGTCTCCCTGTAGTCTGTTCCCAAGATAACAGCCAGAAAAACTCTTTCAAAAGGCTATTAGATCATGTCCCTCCTCTGCTCATAGCCCTGTCATGGTGTCCCATTTTCACTCAGAAGAAAAGCCGAAGTCCTTACAGTGGGCCACAGAGCTTCCCCTGTTACCGCTCCAACACTCTTTCTCTCTCCCTCACTCTGCTGTACCCACACTGACCTGCTTGCGATTCCTCACTACACATTAGCCACACTCATGTGCTGGGACCTTTCTAATGGCTCTTCCCTCTGTCTAAAATGTTCTACTCTAGGTTATCTGCTTAGTCAACCCTCAGATCTTCTTCAAATCTTTGTTCAAAGCTCACGTCAGTGAGTCTTAACTTGAGCACCCTTTTTAAAAACTGCAGCCTGCCCACCTCCTGTCCCACTGCTGCTCCTGATCACCCTGATCCTGCTCTGTTGTTTTTCCCCATGGCTCTTATCACCTTCTAATACACTATATGATTTACTTATTTATCGTATTAATCTCCACCTGCTGGAATGGAAGCTTCACCAGGGCAGGTGCTTTGTTGTTGTTGTTGTTCACTGATGTATCTCTTGTGCCTAGAGTGGTGGCTACATGAGTAAATGTTTAATAAATATTTGTTGATTTGAATGCTTTCTTCTTTCCCCCTGATTGTGCAGTGCACTCTCAAGCCCTAATATTGTTGTCCTCCTGGATGGTTTTCAGTCTTTCCACATCTCTCCGTTTCTGCCACCACTACCTAGTCCAAATGTCTGTCATATTTCATTTGATTTACTGCAATAGCCTCCTCATTGGTCTGCATGCAGCCAATCAAGTTTATTCTCTACAGTACATCCAGAGTAATTTTTAAAACGCAAATCTGATTATGTTCCTTCACTTCTTAAAACATTCAATTTCTTCCCGTTGCTTTTACGATAAAGGTGTGGCCTACAAAGTCAGCATGATCTGGTGCTTCCCAATCTTCCCCTCCAACCACATCTTGTGTTTTTCCTTGTTCTCTATTTCTAGCCATTCAGGCCTTTATTCTATCCTCTGAACTAGTCTTGATGTTTCCTACTATGGGGCTGGGTCTTTGTGTTTGCTGTTCCCTCTACCTGGGATAATTTTCCCTATCATTTTGTCTGGCAAACTACTGTACATTCTTCAGGTGTCAAAACTTCATTTAGTCTCCCAGACAGGGTCAGATCTTCCTGTCATGGGCTCCAGTTTATCCATATACCTCTCCTTAGAGAATTTGTCATAATTACAATTTTACCCCTGTATGATTATGATTATTGAAATAATATCCACTCCCCAGCTAAACTGTAATTTCTGTGATGGCAAAGGCTGTTGTATTTCTGGCACTTAACACGGTGCCTGGCATTTGATAAAAGTGTGTTGAATAGATTAAAGAATAAATTATCTCTATAGCATAATATCACATATATTCTTTGTGAGAAATTGTTCTGCTGTGAGCATAAACTAGTTAGCCAGCATGCAATGGCATCTATATACAGATTTCTTCATGTCACATATATCATTTAGTAGTCTTATGAAATACAAAACACTCTTATCTTCAAATTTGTTTGGATGAATATTCTCATACCTCAAATATTTATGTAAATATGAATTTGCTCTGTGAATTTGGTGCTTCTTTAGTATCCACACTAATTGTTTTGTCCCTGATTATCTGCATTATGGAAATAAATGTAGTCTTCAGTTTACACCTAAATGCAAAATAATATAGTTGCCAGAGAAGCTTCTATAGTTGTATTTATTTTTTAATTGAGGTAACATTGGTTTATAACATTATGTAAGTTTCAGGTGTACATCATTATATTTCGATTTCTGTGTAGATTACATGAGGCTCACCACGCAAAGACTAGTTACCATCCATCACTGTACACACGTACCCAGTCATTCCTTTCGCCCTCCCCCCCCGTAACCACCAATCTGATCTCTGTATCTATGTGATTATTGTTGTTTTTATCTTCTATTTATGAGTGAGATCATACAGTATTTGACTTTCTGACATTTCACTTAGCATAATACCCTCAAGGTCCATCCATGTTGTCACAAATGGCAAGATTTCGTCTTTTTTTATAGCTAAGTAGTATTCCATTGTGTATATATACCACATCTTTATCCATTCATTCCTTGATGGGCACGTAGGTTACTTCCAAGTCTTGGCTATTGTGAATAATGCTGCAGTGAATGTAGGGGTGCGTATATCTTTACTCATTTGTGTTTTCATGTTCTTTGGATAAATGCCCAGTAGTGGAATAGCTGGATCATATGGTAGTTCTGGTCTTAATTTTTTGAGGAATCTCCATACTGTTTTCCATCATAGGTATACCAGTTTACATTCCCACCAGGAGTGTGTGAGGGTTCCCTTTTCCCCACTTCCTCTCCAACACTTATTATTTCTTGTTTTGTTAATTATAGCCATTCTGATGGGCATGAGGCAATATCTCATTGTAGTTTTGATTTGCATTACCCTAATAATTAGTGATGTTGAACATCTTTTCATGTGCCTGATGGCCATCTGTATATCTTCTTTGGAAAAATGTCTGTTTGGATCTTTTGCCCACTTTTTAATTGGGTTGTTTGTTTTTTTGTTGTTGAGATGTATGAGTTCTTTATATATTTTGGATATTAATCCCTTATCAGATAGATGGTTGGCAAATATCTTCTTCCAATTGTTAGGTTATGTTTTCTTTTTGTTGGTGGTTTCCTTTGCTCTGCAAAAGCTTTTTAGTTTGATGTAGTCCAATTTGTATATTTTTTCTTTGGATGCCCTTGTTTTCAGACGTGGTATTTGAAAATATGCTGCTGAGACCAATGGTGAAGAGTGTATTGCCTGTGTTTTCTTCTAGAAGTTTTATGGTTTCAGGTCTTACATTCAAGTCTTTAATCCATTTTGAGTTAAATTTTTCTGTATAGCATAAGATAATGGCCTGCTTTCATTCTTTTGCATGTGGCTGTCCAGTTTTCCCAGCACCATTTGTTGAAGAGACTTTCCTTTCTCCATTGTATGTTCTTGGCTCCCTTGTTGATAATTAGCTGTCCATATGTGTGTGGGTTTACTTCTGGGCTCTTGGTTCTGTTCCATTGATCTGTATGTCTCTTTTTGTGCCAGTGCCATACTGTTTGATTACTAAAGCTTTGTAGTGT